GTGTCTGTCCCACAAACTATTCAACCAAGACAAGTCCTTGTACATGACCTGATGTTAAGTCTTGCATTGTCTAGCATAAACTTAATTATTCCTTTTTTGCCAATTGTGAGCTGATCACAATCTCTGGGTTAGAGTATGGGAATTATACTTTGTTGACAATGTGCAGAGGGAACACTATAAATCAATGCCATGCTGTGTTTTGTTGTTCTACCAGTATTATACATCTCTTAACACAATTAGAAAATGTATTCATGATGCACAAGGTCACATGCACAAATGTATTTATTTTGTATTTATAAACAACTTTCCTGGTAGGAAACTTATGCTACCTTATGTTAAACAATATTTATCGATATGATACGAAAACTAACCAGGCCTCAAATATGATTTTGAGTAGAATTATTGTGACAAACTTGCACATCCTGTCAGCTGCTGGGTCTATAATTTTTCAATGTCTGTGTAGTTGATTGTTTGATATTAAAGACTAGAGGTATAATGTATGTGTTCTATTAACATGATGCCTGCTGATATCCGGAATAAATAAAAAAAAAACCATCATCAGGCATTGTGTTAAAGGGTGGTAGTCGCCGCATATCGCATCTGTATTGATGTATACAATCAGGGATTTTTTTAAACGATTTCTTGATAAATATATTTTTAATTATGCATACTTAATTCATCCGAATCTGAGCACGATATGCGATCCGAGTGGGAAGTTCACGTTCGCTGGATCTTACGTGGGTGACGCCATCTTGGATTCACAATCACGAGGTCAAAATTGTTTACATCATAAATATATATTTTTTCACATTTTGATCTCAAAAAACAAATACAATATCAAAAATACTGACAAAAATCAAAACTTAGAATAATAGTACGACTACATTTCTAAAAATAATAATGAAAATACGTTTCGTACACACCGGAAACATGTGGCTTTTGACCCCAAGTGTGACTATATCATTTGCATATGAATATACGTTTGGCAAAGAGCGTTTAACACCGGGGCTTACGGCTTTGTCTTTATAGAACTGCTTTGTTTTTTTAAAACGATATCCAACCAATGAGAAACAACAGGATTATCCCGGGAAATTGGCGTTAATACAATGCATTTGTAGATTTAACTAGTTAGCCAGGAAACTTTACAGTCTGTGAGAGACTGAAGAAATCAGATCACGGGATAAATAATAGCATCGCGGAGGAAACACATAGTGTCGGGGGCAAATCCGATCGCGTCGCGCCCCGCGACGCTGTTTTGGCCTGGGGAGAACACTGCCCCCTACCCTGGGGAGCAGATCCTCTGGCAACCATCAAATTCTGATTTACCAGGGATCACTTGTGGCAACAGTCTTCAACTGTGACCTGTCTGATAGTAATTTTGGCCCCAAGGAAGCCATAGAATTTAACTTAGAATTATCAAAAATTCTACACCCTGGTAGGGAGAACCCTATCTCCCCCACTTAGTGGCGCCGCTGAATTGCAGTGCTCCTTCTTGCAGTTTTTTCTAGAAAACCCCCTAATACAATGTATTTTACCTGCGTTGCATAAATCGCTATGCGTCCAATATCATACAGGACGCAGTGTGACGACCACCACCATTTGAAAGTGAATCTCTCACACATATAGGAGTACATTAACCAAGAATTGCATTTATTGTATCCTGGATCAAATATAAGTGTTAAATAGCCTCACTCTCACATTATTTTTCAGTTTTATTCTAGTGTACATTGATCTAGCTAGTGAAAATTTGCATGTTTCTTGTCGCTTTCAGTATCATCACATTTTTTAAGAGGTTGCGGACAATGAAGTCAGAAGTGTCTATCAGCGAGAAAGTCTCAAGTTTTCTTACCTCAACTGAACGAAAATACTTTGTGGTGGCTCCACTTTATAATAAATTTCAACAGTAAGTATCGTTGATGGTAAACATGCGTGTAATTCACCGTATAGGACAGTGAAATTGAAACAACACATAGGATGTGTAAAACTTGTTTTTTGGTCTGTTTCCTTTAGACGTGTGTAATATAAAATGCCTTTTATTATTATAAACCAGTATTTTCCGCAGCTGTAAATGCTAAATCATCATGGCTGAATCGCATATTAATAATTTAATTTACATATATAATTTGCTGCAGTAGAAAAAATCAAGCATCTTGTTGTTGTGGTAAAGCATGGTAAAACTAATGTGCTTATAAAGGCATGTAGAGAACCTAGACTGTAAAACTGATGTGCTTATAAAGGCATGTAGAAAACCTAGACTGTTAACTGTTAAACTAGAAAGATTTACCATTGTTTATTTAAGGTGTTCCAGAGGACAACTTTTTTCAAATGTCACTCTGTTTTCCTCATAAGGACCACAGTCATTTGTACTTGCTACAAATTTTCATGATTTTCCTCTATCTCATGAAGATGTTTGTGATGAAATGACACCGATATACAGTATATTGAAAGTACGCAAACTGAACACTGTACCATGCATGTATTATATTTTGCCAGTGTAAACTTTTCTATTGGAGCGAACAGGGTATGTTTCTATCAAGGATTGCTTTAACCCCTATTATGCTTACTGGGGACCACCCCTGTATATTATAGAAGAACTTCCATGTATTACAAGAAAGGGTTGTATATTTGTGATAAAATTTGATGGCTTATC